GGTAAGCCATTTTCTCTTGTAGCGCCTCAAGGTTGATTTCAACGATGTCGCAGAAGAAACTGCATGCCCAGAGCAAGTGGTTTTCATTCATATTAACCATCATTTAAATTTCCCAAACCAATCCATCAATAGGAGACAACATTCCTTCTTTCCCTCCCAGAGCCGGTGATGATGAAGGGGGCTATGCTGATAACATGGGTATTTATAGTTGGAATAAGAACAATTTGAAGTGTTTCAAGAAATACGTCTCAAGATAAATCTTTCCAAAACAGAAACTAGGATCTGGAATTGAAATAAAAGCAATGATGGCACTCACATTGAAATCTGTTATATAGATTAAGAATTTGGAATAGATAAATACTAAACACTTCAAATACCCCAGTGTATGGATCAGTTATAACAAATTTAGGAGATGAGAACATCGAACATAGATTAGGCTGTGTTAAGCATAGTTTCACCAAATACCACAAATTGTTACTAAACCAAATAATTCACCAAAACAATTTGAGTTTCATGCTTAGTGACTTTTCAAAATGGGTGCCTGTTTATTTTTCTATGACCCTTTTCAGGTTTTTCAAAAGGAATGCATCAGCATGCCAACAGTTCAAAATAATTTAATTTCTTTTGTTTATCAAATTATGCATTTTCTTATATTCTATAATTTTCATCTTCTCCTCCATTTAAAGATTGTAATTTTTGTTTATTTGTCTTCATCTTTTTTATTATATACCATTCTACTAATTCTCATTCTAATGTTTTCTCTTTCATTTATAAGTATATATACATCAGGTCCTCAGGTTATGACAGACCCGACGTATAGTGTTTCGTGATTACACCACCATCTCCCATAATATAATACAGCATCATGTGGTGCTATATGAGGAAAACAGCATTGTTTCTTCCCTGGCTGTACACCATATTAGATTGTGCTACATTCACTATCTCTTGTTTATGTCATTTTCGGGGGGGGGGACTTTTTGCTCTTCATTTTGGCACTCAAGCATAAGGCAGTCTTGTGGAAAAGAATGAATTTGGCAAAGCTGAATCACCAAGAGATATCATTGTTTAAAAGGCAAATTTGGGTTAAGAAATTGTCCACAGGCTATAAGAAAAATCAGTCATAGGTGAAATTGTTTTTATCAAAAAGAAAGAAATATACTTTCTCAGCAACAGAGAACAAAGAGACATATGGTAAATTTCAAACTTGACCGAATTCTGAGAAAGTGTATTCCAGTTATCAAGGAAATGCAATCCAAAGTTAGATAAAAGAATAATAGATTTGCCATAACAGGTAAAACAAACCCAGGGAAAATTGAAATACAAAACCAATGTCATGAATGTTGCTAAAAGCTTGAGAATTAGACATGTTAGAAAAGACAACAAAATGCCCAAACTACAGGAAATACCAATAAAAATTTGATGAAGGAGTAAATCACTGTAAAAGGAGAAAAACAAAATGGTTGGTGAGTAAACATTTTTGTGCCACCTTAGGGGTTGAACAGATCGATCGATAGCCATACTGAAAATATGTGACCAGATTTTGTAAATTCAGAGAAAGGAGGGACTGGGACACCTGATTTCTTTTCCCACAAAGGAAAAAAAAATTGTTTTGTTTTTTTTTATTACTGGTCAACAGAAAAGAATGAATTTGGATAAAATTGAATCCCCAAGAGATATCATTGTTTAAAAGGTAAATCTGGGTTAGGAAATTTTCCACAGGCTTGAGAAAAATCCATCATGGGCAAAATTGTTTTGATTTTAAAAAAATAAAAAAGAAAGAATATAACATTCTACCATCTTGCCCTGACAAATGCTTAGCAAATGTTTTATCCCCCATAGACACATCCAATCATTCCCTAGTCAGTGTCCAGATTGACTCCAAACCAATGACATAGAACAGTTTTTCACTATGTGAAGGAAAACTTGGATAGCTTTCAGTCCTATATGATGGAAGCTCCTCTCCCAACCTTTTTCAAAAATGCTGCTCCCAAAACTGCTGCCCTAATCTCCTGGATCATTTCCAGAATGGAGTGTTTTATACCCACACCCCCACCCCAAAAAATGCCAGCAAAAACCAAACAGTCAGCCCCGGTTCACCCCTGAATGTGCTGCAACCATGGCTCACCCAAACCAATACTTCAATATCTATTGTAAGGAGCAGTGTCTTCTGACTGTTACTTCTTTCAGATCCACCCACAATCACTCTAAGAAAACTCTGGAAAATGCCAAATGCATGTAGAAAGCTGTCCAGGCCAAAGTTGAAAAGAAACAAATTGGACCTCATGAATTCTGGAAGATCACCAACCAAATTATGAACAGGGGAAAAATTTTAGAAAATTATAAATGGTCCCAAGGTCATATCTTAAACAGACAAGGTGAAGCTCTTCACCTTGATCTTGACCTCAAACTCACTGTTAGATGACAAAAGCCACCCCCTCCCCAACTTTCCATGACTTACTGAGCACAATCTCAGTAATATATTCATCTCAACAAGTTCCTAGACTTATCAAAAGCCTCGACCTGAAAAAATCCATTGGCTCAGACAAAATTCCAGTGGCTGTCCTTATGAATATCAACCCAGAATTATTCCTGATCCCAGCAAAGTTATTCAACTGCTGCTTGAAGGAGAAATCTTTCCCAGGCCTGTGGAAAGAAACAAACATATGCTTGGTTTCCTCCTTCCAGTATATACTCATCAGTAAGATTTTCAAGGCTTTAATCAACAAGTCGAGCATCTAGATAGGAACAACCTCCTGTGTGATGAGCAGTATGTATTTTGATCAGCCCAATCCACTGCTGACATCCTAACTACCATTACACGCAGACTTAGTGAGGTCCTTGATGACACACGTACTTCAAGGACCATAGCATTAGATATCTCTAAGGCCTTTAACAATGTGGAGCACAAAGGTTTGCTCCAGAAGCTCTTCAGCTATGGAATCACTGGAAGGGTTTTCTCAATTATAAAATCCTTCCTAACAGATAGATCCCTGAAGGTAGTTATTAAGGGCCAATCCTCGAAAACACTCTTCCTGATTTACATAAATGATCTGCCTAAGAATATACTCCAAACATTTGTAAACATCTATGCCGATGATACAATGACATAATGGTACACCTCTAAAACTCTTGATTATAAGATTGCCAGCTGACCTCTCTTTTGATCTAGCACTAACTTCCCAGTGGGGGAAAAACAGGCTGGTTACATTCAATGCCTCAAAAACCAAACTAGTCACATTCAATCACCACTGATCAGACCCCAAATTACTGCCAGTCACAATGAACAGATGCCCCCTCATGTGGAACTCTTATATATGACCTATCACTAAAGATGCAGGTAAAATGATACCATTTCAGTAATAATATGTTATTCTGCTTTCACAACTGAATAGATGGTAAATGATACTCAGCTTTTATATATGTTTGTATGGACATAATTACCAAGAGATGGTGATATGTATATTTTGCATTGTAGTTTTGTTGACGTTATATATATTCAATTTGATTTCTTTAATGATATTATATGGATTAATGTCATAAAATAGTTCTTTCATGTTGGTTAGTTAGATGATTTTGTTTAGTGGCATATCAACACCTCCATGGGTCAATTAATGCTGAAATCTAAATATTTTGAACACAACTGTATACCTTCAACTATAGATAAAAAATGTATTGTTGGTCTTTTTTGATATAAAAATGTCTTATTGGTCATTTTGCTACACATATATATATATATATATATATATATATATATATATATATATATATATATATATATATATATATATATAATTATTTTTTAAAAAAAAAATTATAACATAAGTATGTTATAAAATCACTACAAAAATAGCCATTTTGTTTCAACACACTGTGTCTTATCAAGTGATGATGTTGAAAATAAAATAAATGGTTATGAAACTTTTAAAACCATTTATTTTATTTTCAACATCATCACTTGATAAGACACAGAGTGTGTTGAAACAAATGGCTATTTTTTGTAGTGATTTTATAACATACTTATGTTATATTTTTTTTTTTTATAAAAAATAACTATATCTGCTCTACTTTGTATTGAGCACTCTTTTAAGAATAGTAATTGTTGGTTATTGGAATTCATTCCGTATATACCAATTATATACTTGGTATATATATATATATATATATATATATATATATATATATATGCAGTGTTGGTCATTTTCTTATATAAAAGTGTATTGCTGGTATTTCTACTACAAAAATGTACCTCTAAACTTTCATAGTGTTTTGTTTTTATTTGGGTGTTCACTATTTGCCTATAGCTGGGACCCTAACAGGTCCTACCTCCCCAGGCCACAGTGGACCTAGGAACAACAGCAATTAAGAGGAGGAGTTCCACAATCTTCAAAACCTCCAGTCTCCCAATCAGAGGCCTAGGTAACATGTACAAACCCAGTCAGTGATATCAAGTTATAGAGGAATCGTGGACAGAAATCATAAGAGAAATTACTACTACCTAAAGAAAACTAGCTAAGAACTGAAAGGGACTTCCCTCTTTAATAAGGACTGTTGACAAGGTAACTGGATGCCTTTCTCCTAAGCTAAGCCTGCAGATGCACATCGTCTGCAAGCATTTTTTTATATATTAAATATAATTAAATAGTACAGGTAGTTGTATTTTTCTCTGTTCAAAATCAGTTGAGCAGTTCATTTGAATAGATAAGAACTTAGCACTTAGAATCCATAAACTTGGGGTTGTATCTTGGCGTAATATCATCACTATAATCACCACAAATAAACTTTTGAGTAAAAGCTTGTAAAAAGCATAAATACTTGTGATACAACCTAATACATAATAAAAAACAATACAGAGGAGTCATATGAAGCGTTTAGATGTGTACATGAAATAAACTTTGCTGTAAAAAGACCTGTAAAAGATAAAAAAATACTTTTAATACATTCTCATATTAATGATTGAAACAAAGCAACAAAAATAAATAGAAATTAATGAAGTCATCAACCTTTCAGAGCCCAAAGCATCTTTGTGAGACAAGTCAACACCAAATGTCAGGAAGTACTCAAGGACATCAGCATTCCCAGACTTCAAAGCTAGTTGGATTGCTGTGTAATTATGGTCATCCCGGAGACGTAAGGATGCGCCTGCTGAAATCAAAATAAATTCTTAATATAGAAATTTTATAAAAATTAATTTTGTAGAATTTTATAAAAAAAAATAACAAGAAGATTTATTATGAAAAATATATATCAAAAACAATTTTCTCAAAAAAATAAAAATAAAATGATAATTCATTTCCATAAAAGGATATTTAAAATGTGTTACTGGCTTTTGTTCGTTGCTTACAATTTACCCATAAATATTGATGGTAATTTCACCATAAAAATATATTATTAGTAATTTTTCATAAAAAATGTATTCCTGGTATTTTTACTATAAAAATCTATTTTTATACTTTCATAGTGTTTTCATTTTTGTCTGGGACCTTAACAGATGATGTCCTGATAAAAAAAAGGAAGATATGGCATTTTTTTATCTTTGTATGTCATTTTATTTTGTTTATTTACATTATTTACATTGTTTGGACTGTTGTCCATATTCTTGTTGCCATATTCACAACATTCTGGCCATTGTACACTAGGGATTTCTTCAGGTGATTGGAATTTCAAACCAAACCCTTTATTTTGCCACTAGGGTAGATTGGTCTAGTTCCACATGCCATACCACTTTCGGATATCTCAGTATCAGTTATTTCCCTTTAACTCAATTCACCAAGTTTTTGTTCACCTCTGCTACCACCCTGACGGACAAAATAAAAGGTTCAGTTCAAAATTCCAATCACCTGAAGAAGGCCAGAGCGTACAATGGCCGAAATGTCGTGAATATGGCAACAAAGATGAGGACAACAGTCCTAGCATTGTAAAGTGTAAATAATTACAATACCTTAACTCACTTATATAGGCAAACATTTTTTTTAATTTAATAATATTTTAAAAGTTTAAGCAAGAAATGGAGGCTTCTCTTTTCTTAAATGACAAAAATATTTTTACGTGGAACTTTAATATGCACTTTTTTCAATAGTTAAATCATTTTGATGTCGTCAGTCAATCAATTTAGTTTTATTTTATATTGTTTCGAAATTGTGTTCCAGTTTGAATCAACGTAATTGTTTTGAATTCTCGGTGACCAGGAAGAAAGTGTATTTGAGCCATGCTAATTGACAAAACTTTTAACTTGATGACAGAACTAACAACTAGCACATGTTTATGGGAAACGGTATTTTGCCACTGACGAGGTACAAAATTATACTTGCACCAAATGCTCCGTAAATTTCAGCAGTTATCAATTCGTTACCTGAACCCATTTCCCTTTCAACTTATGTCAACAAAAGTTTTGTTTATCCTAATGGATACTAATAAACTAATGTACTATAACAATTAGGCAGATATGGAGTCTATAATTACGTACGTATTTTACTTTGTACAGATAAAAAAAAGTCAAACAATCACGAAGAAAGTGAAGATATGAACACAAATTATAAGAATATGGTTATTGCAGAGATCAAAATATAAGGGAAATAACTCTAAATATATTGCTACTTTTGGAATTTAGAGTTATTTCCCTTGTATTAGCATGAGTGTTGACTTGCTTAAAAAATGGCGACAAATACATTTATCAAACATTTTCAAAGCTATTGATTAACAAGTAGAAACAAGATTTTATTGGATAGCTTCAACATATAAGCTTTTGATAGGTAAGTGCGTTAAATCACAGTGCTTTCTCTTATAAGGGAGATGCAGGTCCAAACCCTACTGGAAAGCACATTTTCTTCATTTAAAACGCTTGAATGCACAAACCAGTAGATATATATTTACACAATTTTAATCAAGAAAGTGTGCAATGTTTACTCACAATGAAGTACAAATAATGAATGTAGTCACTGTATACTTTGTGTATAGCAAACAGTTTCCCTTAGTATTAGGTTATAGGAAATAAACTATTTCTTACACAATGACATACTGACATATATACCATATTAAAACATTACCAAATTTTATTTTCTACCCAATAACAAACAATATTTACAAACATGCAAAAAAAAAATTTCCACAATACAGACTGTTTAAATCAAAGTGTTTATTGATTACAAATCAATATTACTATATGAAATATTTGACCAATCAGGGAAAACTAAAACCCTGTTTTTCTCAAGCCTACATTTAGGAAAAATTTCTTATAAAACCCCAAGCATTTTCACTTTCGGAAACAGAGATGCAACTTCTTCAAGCTGTACAAACACAAAAGACGACATGGCTACATAGCTTTTTACTTCTCCCAGCACATGCTGAAAGAAACATGTGTTGGCGACTTCATACAAATCATCTCACAACAGCAGGTTTGACAGTCACTGAATCTTTACTGAGAATCAAAGTCTTTTCTATACTTCAACTTTTTCAATAACTTTAACTAAGCTAAAGGCTATTTTTACTCCTTTTTGAATTCATCTACATATCTTTGTAAATACAAATGATTTATTTAACAGGCATACCCCTATTTTCTTTATTTTTATTGTTTGGAATTCAGACATTAATATAAAAAAATATGGATGACTGAATTTCCTACAAGGTGTATACATTGCATTTAAATTTTAAAACATCAAAGTTGATGGGAAAGCAAGAAGCCAGAAGTGCATTCCACAAATGAGAAATGCAATAGAAGAAATTATTAGCATAGAACTTCTGGTTATATCTAGCTATTTCAACTGTAAAATGATGAGACCTTGCTGCCAATCTAGTACTGCACTTAAATTCATAAAGTCAAGGTACCATAGAGAAAAGTATTTATAGAAAAGACACAGGAAAGCTATGTTCTGGTGGTTGGAAAGGGGCTGAAGCTGAGATGCCAGGTTAGGACCAATAATATTGCAAATTCTTTGAATTTTACAAAGTATCTCTAAATATATAACAGGAGCACCAGGCCATATGTGGTAGTAATATTCAAAGCATGGACAAATGGTAGACTTATAAATATGTATTATACATACATGTGTGAGAAAAGAAGGTAAAAGCAGAAATTAATCCTCTATGAAGAGTTTGGCAAAATTTTTCTGTACTTCATTATGAATGGACATTTCACACTTTCTTGATTAAAAGTGTTTTACAACAAAGAACTTTTAAAACTGAACTGTACAACATAGTTTATTTGAAAGAAATTTCTTCTATTGATTACATTGATTGACTTTTACTTTATGGCTTATCAACCTTTTAAAGGTTATTTTTATAGCCAGGAAATATTTTTGGATTGTAAGAATTTTTTATTGGGGATATTGATTTACTGAAAAAAAAAGTCTTACTAATTAACCCATTGCTGGAGTGAGACAAGGTGGATTCAAAGCTTTTCCTAAGAGTATTTGTGTGTGAGTAAATAAAATGAACCCAACAGGAATTGGAACTTGGCTCTCCAAAGAACAATTCTGAACCATTATCCATATCCAAGCTTACAGCACCTAGTATTTACAAATGGTCTACCATCTAGATACTGACCAGGCTCAACATTGCTTAACTTCAGTGATCAAACAAGAACCATATAGCCTTAAGCCTCTGTTGATCACACAACTTTTATCTTTTGATTTTTGCATGAAAAATGTAAGGTTGTGTCATAAATCATTTCCATGTTTATATATCAACTTTATTCTTTGAAAAATAAGTCCAATTACATTTCATTCAATTATATATTCCCTATTATCTCCAAGACATGTTGCAACTTATCAGGCAGCTTCTGGGTATCTTTTGTGTAAAATTCCACAGGTTTTGATGTGAAAAGGCTTTTGACCAATTCCTGAATCTGGTTTTTGTTAGAGGAAGTCTTCCTGATAATTTAGAGTCAAATTCAAAATAAATAATACAGAATGTATTATGTTGTATCAGTTACAGCGGAAATGAACACACAACCACCCTTTGTCTGGATGAATGGATTTCTCTGTATCCTTGGAAAAGTGAATTATGAATTTTTGCAGTGCCTTTAAAACCCAGTAAATTTAAAAATAAATTGCTCCAAAATTTGCTTGAGGATGAAATGGAACTAATGTCTTTAATTTAATTACAAAATTAAATTCGAAGCTTTTAGCTTCCATTTTTGAAACATGGTTAGAACTGTGTAGTGCAAAAACTATATTTTAAATCAGCTAATTTATAATATATATATAAAATTAGGCAATCAGCCAATTCCGGTACCATGGTTTTGATGTTTCAGTATCTTCAGGCGATTTCAGTCAATTTATTTCCTAACACTTTATTTTTTTAAAATTCCTAATTTTCTATACTTAAAAGTTCTATATATTACATTTTTATCTTTTTATATGTGTATTGAACAGTGTTTGATGTAATATAACAGAACTATTAAGAGTGTGTGCGTGTATATATATATATGTGTGTGAGTGTGTGTGTGTGTATATATATATATATATATATATGGTAACTTGCTAGTAATATCCAAGTATGCCTGTCTACTAGGGTGGCTAGCCAATCCCTGTCGTAAAAGTTTAAACAAGGTCAGTATGTTCAAATGCTCAGTCACGGTGACTTGTGACTTTGTGTTAGCACAACTATCAACAGCTTCCAAATAGTTCCATCTACCCAATTTCACTCAAGGCTTGAGTCAAACCGTGGTATGGTTTTCAGACACTTTCCAAAGGTGGGCTGCACACTGGGATTGCCTCCTGTGGTCAATAACATCAAGAAGTTACCTTGACTATGATGAAATTCAAACTCAAATCTCATGGTTGGAAATTGAACATTCTAACCATTCAGCTATGTGCCTATATACATTATATATATATATATATATATATATATATATATATATATATATATATATAAACTAAACCTTTAATAAAAGATTACCCTTTGCAGTAGTAAGAATATAGGAAGGGTTGAGTTTATCCATTAGTGCAAAACGATCTTATACATTTTGTTTTTCCTGATCAGCTCCTTAAATCTACTCTACACTGCCACATAACAATCATCTTGTAATTAAACAATAAAAGCTTACAATAGAGGGCTCTTCATTGGATTTCAATGTATGAGGGCCCAACAGTTCACTTTTGAACAAAACTGCTTGGCTACCTACAGAGAAAATTTAATTTATA